AAAAGATGACCATCTAGCCAGGTTTTTTCACTGCAGTGTTTAACCAGGAACCATATGATACTATGTTTTATTTAAAATTGGGCTTGTACCACTGAAGCTGGAAACTTGTATCTTTAGAACAATTTCGTATTGCACAGTGCCACCATATGTTGCCTACTTTAGTGTTTTTAAAGAGATTGCCTACTGCCTAAAGGTAGCATGTCTCAAATTTACAAATCACACATTGCTTGAGGGCAGAAGTGAAACCATTGATTTAAGAGAATGCAATATGCTTAGTTTAAGGGTGTTAATTCAACTCTATCATCCTCCAGTGTTCCTTACACTGAAATGCATTTTAGCGCTGGGCAGGGAAATAAAAAGATTCGAACTACAGGTTCTATAATTGTGTTTCATCTTAAAAGGAAAGGAGAAACTGTCTGATTAGCTAGACAGACATATCTAGCATAAGTGCTCTTGGAACCTCTCGAAATGAACACTGAATTATGAAGCTGGCCTTTTACATTTCTCATCATTAGTGTGAAAAAAAAAAAGTAGCCACTAGTACCTTGTAACTAATTTAGCAGACGGGCTTATTCTAACATTTGCTCTGAATTACCTCGTGTATATTTTAAAGGGAAAACTTGTAATTTATTTATATATTTTAATATTTAACTTTCTTTAAAAAATTGGATTGCTCACAGTGATTTAATACATTTCTATTCAATGTTTGCCTTCAGATAGCTTCTGCAAATTTAGAGATAGAAAAGTCCTAATCCCTCTGGATGAAAGATCATTACCCACTGCCTTATTAATTCTAGATTAAAATATTTAAAGTGATGAAACTTCCAGTATTTTCCTTGAAGAATATATTTCATACCAAAATAATTCTCCCTGGCTTCAAAGCCTAAGGGTGATGAGCAGCTCTTAAAATATTGACTTTATTATCTTATTTGCTATACTTCTATTAATGTACCTGATGAGGAAGACAAAAACAAACAGAAATGGAGTCCCACTGTAGTTCAGTGACACTCAACAAAGACAAGGCTTTGTCTCAGAGAGCTCGCCATGTAGCCGTTGGGCATAAATGCACAGGTCGACAAAAAAAGCAAACAAATGGAATAGGGTGCTGATGTAACTACATAGCCTTCCTCAAGGTCTTAGAGACAACAGTAGGCTCTTGCTTCCATACTGCCTGTGAGCACAGAAATTGGGTGAAAACCAGCATTCTCCACACTTTGCAGCACCACCTGTGCAGATCCAGGTCAGCAATCCTATCCAGTACAGCATGAGCCAATGTGTTAGTGGCAAAGATCAGCGAGTTTGTGCTTTTATAGAATTCAGCCCCAGACAACTATGAAACTAGGGTATAGCCTAAGAGAGAGTAAGGTGATGACTTTCTACGTTCTAGGAAGGATAAAGCTCAGACGCACCTGATAAAGAAGACAAGAGCTGAGGTGTCAATGCTTCTGCTACTGCAGTCTGATGAAACAGAGGGTGCTTCGCAAGGACTCAAAAAAATAGGTTCAGTGTTAGCAGGCTGTCTTTGCATCCATCCTATTGCCTCACGGTTATGCTGAATGCTGGAAAATAGGTCAAAAATGAACACTAAACCAGAGACTGAATAGGTCATGCAATTAGACATCCTGGTTTCTGCAGTATTTCGTTGTGCATAACTTACAGATTGGAATGGAAAGTTTCTGCAATAGCCCTTAGTCTTTGCATAAATCCTGTCTGTGTTTTATGCATGTCTTGTTTTCTTATAAACCTGATTAAAAAAAGGCATTTTTAAGTACTTTGGTGACAGGTTCCACATACCATTTACTTTTTGGAGCATGCATTTTGCACTGGCTGCTGAAGGCTCACACCAGAAGGTTGGGTAATTCTTCATAGGAAATGGCTGTGGCATGTGCTGAAAAGAGTCTCCAGTTTCAAACGCAAGCGCTCAAGCTATACAGCTTACAAGTCATCCCCATTAGTGAAGACCAGCATTGGTGTCTTTACAATGCTTCCACCTCACTAAATAGTCTTCAAAAATAACCACCATGGCTTAATTTACTTAATATTAGTATCCATGTTAACCTAATACCTTTCTTTCTTAAAAAGAAATGGGCAGTTTATGCAACTCTTTCTTGTCAGGTAATAGCTCTCTAGATTTACTTAAAGAGCCTTTTCTTGTCAGCACAAACAGCAGCCCCCTGCCATGGCTGGAGATTAGGTGCCCCCCGAGGCCGAGCTGAGCCGGGCTGCCCCTTTGTGTGGGGTGTCCCTTTGTGTGTGGGGTGCCGCTTTGTGCACTGTTCTGTGGGGAGGAGATTAAGCTGTCCCCCGCCGGCCGGCACTGGGTGTGGGTTTGACCATTTTGGCTGGCAGATGGTGTCAAGCCAACAGGTGCACCCCGATGGCAGCACTGAGCCCAGCGCATCTGCTGGTCGGGCAGGCTGGGGGCTGCTCCCCAGCCCCCACCAGCTGCAGCGTGTGCTCTCACCAGGCATGGCGGCAGGCAAAGTGGTGAGAGAAGGGGCCTGGAGACCTTCAACTATTAACCTTTGTACATTATGCTCTGAAAGGGGACGGTATGGCAAGAATGCTTTGATCTGAGTATTACAGGATGAAAAATGAAAGGAGACCAAGATGTAATTGATTAGCGGGTATAGGAAATGGTGGGCAGTTTCAGTTTAGGTTTTGCAGTGAGTAATGGGGTATCTCAGCCATTAAAAGCCACCCTGGTTTTAGCCAGCTCCTCTTTTGCATTCTTTGTTTTGCAGGACATCAGTGGATGGAGGCTGACTTCGGAGTATCTTTTGTTTCTGCTCAGAAATAAAAGTCGAGCACTCTTTCTGAGGACCTTCATACACAATTCTCCCTCTCTCCCCACCAAAATCCCAGCCTGTTTTATGCTAATACAGGCTCTGCACTCAGGACAACATCATAGATTAACCTGTTTGCACAGTCATAAGCACAACAGGAAAGACAGGACTCAAAATGTCAACTAATACTCCAGTTCTAAATGTGTTTGTCTTAGCTAACTGTTCTGTACTACCTTCTCACTTTATACATCTCCTTATTTAATTCCTTTCCTTCCCATCCTGACCAAATCCTCCCATACTCCCCTGCCTCACCTTTGTTTCAGTTCAGCCCAAAGCCAGCTGAGCTATCACCTTGCACAAACAAGCAGCATTCCCTGATCTTCTTGGCTCATCATCAGACTTTTTAGCTATTCTCTCACTTTAATTCTTCTTCCTCCCTACTCCCCCCTTTGCTCTCCTTTTGGTCTGACTTAAGGTCCACTCTTCCCTCAGGCCCTTCTGCTCATGTTCAGAGTCCATTGCAACGTCTTCACAAACCTGGCAGTTTCTGCTAGACTAGCAGCTGTCTCCATCTCTTGTAGCTCTGCGGCTTCCCAAGGTCAGAAGCACATCATGAAGTAATGAATTTCACTACTCTCATGTGGAAAAAAATTGTCTCAGATGAAGTTAGAAGAAGCCTTCTGGTTCAGAGGGTACAAGACAACCCACTGGGGTCCCACAAAAGAAGCTGCGAAAATGTGGCTAAAGACAGGAAAGCCCGCTGGATGTGCATGAGGTGGGGTAGAGTGGTGGGTTATTGCTCTACACCTTTTGAGTTTTCAGACAGTCTTAATGGCTGGGCTAAATTGCGAGCACTTACTTCCTTATTTTGAACAGCCTCAGTTCACCCCAGTGCTGGAGAAAGGAGACGCAGACACAGTGAGAAGTGTTCCTATCACAGGGAAAGCTGAACTACATAATGTCTGGAAAGATGAGTGGCTGTGTTCAGGCTTGTCTGGGTGCCTATTTGGGGAGCTGGAGAACAGCTCTAGTTGCAGTTACATGAGTCCTGAGTGTCCTTGAGATGGCTCACTTGGAAGACAACTGATACTAAGCAGACTGCTGTCTCACACCAGAATTACTAGGAAAGGGTAGAACAGCCTTCCAAAGAGGAAATTCTTTGGGGGCAGCAGAAGCTGAAAGCTACAGACATGGAGAAATAACTTCATTAACTGAAACCAGCCTGAAGGATTTGAAAACAACTGGTTACTGGATCTATAATCTAGTAATTCATAAGTTCATGAGACTTTATCCTTTCAACTCCATTATCCTATTTTCATCTTCCTAAGCTATTGACGATTGCTCTGCACTTAGAGATACCAAACCCCCCACTATATTTCTAAAAAGGAAACCCTCTCTGCAAATACATTTTATTCAAACATCTTCAGTCCTAATTTTAAGTGGTCAGAAGTTTATATTAGTGGAACAAAATAGCCAGTGTAAAATTCTGAAAGACATTCTTACTGCAAACATAGCTAAGTTCATACACAGATATTTTCAACAAAACTCCTCATGTTTAATTGTTGTGATTTTGTCCAGCAGGTACCAAATGCTGCAGCCACCACAAATACCTGTGTAATATTGACCTTATGTTTCTGAGGATTTCACAAGCCCTAAGAACAAACCCCATGTATACAGACTCTGGTCCCCTTTGGAAAGCTGGGAAGAATTTAATACAGGTGGCAATCTGTTTACATTCTTTTAAACCACTACACAGCATGCTTAAAGAGTGACAGCATCACAGTAGAGTGTTTTAAAAAGTAGTTAAGGTAGTTACAGAGGAGAGATCATTCTACATCAAACTGATCAAGTTACAAAACCATGTCTGTAAATCCTCAACATGTTTGTCTATGACATTTTTGTTTCCAAGTGTTCTAAATTCTCTCACATCCTTGTATCTAAGCTCAAGGAGAGTTAGGCTTACTACATGAAATAAAAGTATTTTCAGACCGTAGCAAGCTTTTCTCTTCAGTTTAAACCCTATACTATCTTTGCTGGTAGGGATGCCCCTATTCCAAGCCCTGTGAGGCTTCTTGAAAGCTGACAATACTGTTTTCTTTTGCTGGGTGAGAAGACAGCTCAGAAGGGGTTAAGTGGCTGGAGACCAGCTGGGCCCTGTTAATCTGCGGGGACCAGCTGCTTTGTATAAAAAGGAAGACAAGAAACAGAGTGGCTAGTGCTGAGGGAAAGCTGAGGGTATTGAATTGCTTATGTTCTGGAAAGGGGGAGTGAACGCTTGCATGTTCAGCCTTTTGGTGTGCTGGAAAACGAAGAAGAGCTCTGTAGGTATTTTGGTTTGGTTGGGAAGCTGCAATTGCTTGTGGTGATTGACAGCCCACCCAGGATACTAGCATTTAGTTCTCAAGCACTCCTAAAAAGATGTCCCTGTGGGGTAAAAGCTGGTAACTGAGCAAACCAGGTGTAATAAGCTACAAACTAGCTTTTATTTAATTTGGATGCTCTTGAAAGGTGGAAAAAGAGCAGTTGAGGTTTTGATGCCTTTTGGATTCCTAATGCAAGAGCCAGTGACCTCTCTTTTGGCTGTCCCAGGAAGTTGTCAGACAAATGCAACTTGTATTTCTCAGAAGTGACAAAGACCTTTCTCTACCTCAGTTTGCATTGATGCAATGATTGTACTTGCATAACTGTCACTCCCTGTAGCACTTGCCTGTGACAAATATGCTGTAGAAGGAAAATCCCTCGATTATTTTTTTATTAATTCTTTAAATATTAACTTTGAGAGACTTTGTTTATCTGGCTGTAGCTGCTTTGAATGAAAAACTCTAAGCAGAAGTTGAATTGCATAATACTCTGTACAGAGCTATTAAAATTTATTTAGTGATTCCATTAGAAATCTGCTGTTGAGCAAGGCAGAGCATATGGAGAGAAGTTGGTGAAAACCTGATTAAACATTTATATGAAGCATATTTTGATTTAACTTGCATAAATAATTCATTGTTTTTGTTTTCTTGTTTCCTTTCTTTCAAAACCACCCTTTCTACACCTGCTGGACTAAAAATAACACTACTGTATCTGCACTGAAGAAGTAGTGGGAGTGAGTGGGTATACTGCACCTACCAACCTGCAGTGAAGGATACCCTCTCACAGGTTTGATAGAGCTATATCTTTTTGAGAAACAAACCACTTTTTTCCTATAAAATCTGCAGCGGCTTTCTTTTGTCCTTACAAATGGTAAAGTAGAGATGTTCCAAGGACAGTAAGTATTATGCAGAAGTTAAGTTGTGCTAGGAGTCTAGATCAATAGGAGTATTACCCCAAAGCTAATGGGAATTGCAGCTCACATATCAGATGACTGATCTATTTTCTAAACTGAGTAACAGTTTTAAAGGGAGATTTGTTTCTGAACTTTGCCAAAGTCTGGGTCTGATATTCTAGTTCAGCCTCAGTTTTTGTACTCTGTTGGGATTCAAAGTCTGATTTGCAATAACACTAAAGGTCTTTTATGGCTTCTTGGCATTAATAATGTGGTATAAAGAGGGTCTAAATCCTACTTTAAGGCCCCCTCTTGCCACTAAATATATGAGGGAATTCAAGCTTCTTCTTTAAGAGTTGATCTGAGTGAGCATTCAGGTGCCCCAAAGCATGGATTTTTCTCTGAAACTCCTGAGAGCAAGGTATTTCACAAAAACTGCTTCTCTTTTCCCTCCCACTGAGTTTCAGAGTTCAAACACTGGCAATTTCCAGTACCATCTCTTCTTCTCTCCTTGTTACAAGTAGGGTTTCATTACCTGCCGAACAACCAATATCTGCTTTCCAATATCAGCATTGTCCAGAGATCCTTTCTCTGACTGCTGTCACTCATTACAGCAACGCGCTGCTCTTTCATGGCAGCCCAACAGATCACAGAAACGTGGGGCTCTGGATCATTACCAGGGAACAGAGTCACTTTGGGGTCATTATCAGAGAAAAGTGTCACTTTTCTTCTTTTTTCTTTTTTCTTTTTCTTTACAAATAACATTTCCTCTCCAGCTCTGCTTGGCGGCGGTTGTCTTCTGAATCCCATCTAACGTCTGCAATATAGCGTTTTCGACTGATATGGTTCAGCAGGGAATTAAATTATGGGATTTTGCTGGAAAGAAGCTGCTGAAGTCTTTTGAAACAAAAATATCTCCTGGATGGAGCATGCTAAGTCAAGTCCTGGAGGGCCTTATGAAACTGTTCAGATAAAAGCTTCTGATAGTGTGTGTTTGCCAATATATTAATCGTAATGTGGTGAAGCAAAAATCCACCCCAAACTATGAGAGACTCTGCAGAGTAATTCCTCTAATATTTTAGCCAGTATATAGACTGATGTTTTTGGCTTATACAAAAGCAGACTTTCTATTAGACTGCAAAAGTGATCTCTAATGAAAAATAACACCCTTGGCCTGTGGTTTTGGCAGTTATATCTCATTTCTGTACACTTTTCAGTCCAGTGAGAAGAGCTTATTGTTGCAAACCTGTACTTGAGCAGTCCTTGCAACACACTGTGCAGGGAGAGCTCACAGGTAGTGCTCAACCAGGTTCGCATGCACCAAGAGCTGCTTGGTGCCATAGAAGCAGTGAGCGTGTGGGGGAAGCTATGTTGGTTTGTGAATTTCATTAAAAATCTGAGATGTCTATGCACGCAGCCTTATTCACAGTTTTTTCTGTATTGTGATTTTAGGATATAACAAGGTGTTAACAAGAAAAACATGTTTTCATTAAAGCTGTATACAAAATGTATCTTTGCCCTGAGCCCTTCTGTGTGTTTATTTTTCTGAAACAGTCTGTTACTTAAAGAAACAAACAAAAACTGAAGCAGGGGAAGAAACTTTTTCCTTTCTGTGTAAAGGTCCATTTCCACCCCTCCTTTCATTTCCAGCCACTGAGGGTCCTGAGCTGCCAGGTGGACTGGGCTGGCCCAGGTGAGTACCACACCTCACCTGTTGAACTCATTTAGTTAAGCTGTTGTAAGCATTTGCTCTGCTTTCTTTCTCAAAGTGAAAACACTGTAAAAATAATGGCTGCCATAAAGACTCCATTAAACACTTTCTAAAAGGTTACAATTTGCAGCTGTGAGGTCACTGCCCTCTGATTATATTGCAGCAGTGAAGCAAGATGCCTTTCCCCCAAGCACCCTGTGTAGAGGCTGGGAAAGCATTGCCTTTGCCTTGGCCACTGTGCTGGGGCGCTGGGGCTCTGGGGCTTCAGGGTATCAAGTGCTGTCTGGGCGTCAGGGAGGGGATGAGACTTGGGTTGCGGGGGGGTGGGGGAGGCTATTACCAGGCTTCGTTCATTTGTTGTGTGCAGTAGGAATTGGTTATCCATGCATCCCATCAGTGCCTGTCCATGGCAGAGAGGAGCGGCAGGGAAGGGAAGTTCACTGCTGAGGGTGGGTAATAAGCAGGAGGGGACAACAGAAGATGAGAAGATGCTAATACAAAACTGTAATACCAGTAGGAGACCAAGACAAGGAGTGGTATGGGGGATGGTGGGAAGGGAGGGGGGAGAAAAGAGAGTGAAAACTGGGAGCTTCAGTAATTTTAACAATTAATTTATTGAAACAGCAGGGGCATCCAGGTAGGAAAGCATTAACTGGACCAGGCTGGAGTTCATGGAGAATCATCTAAACACCTGTCAATGGGGAATGGGGATTTTCTTTCTGCTGAGCACACAACCTGTGATGGGTAAGCCCTTAACCTTCCTCCCTGCTGAGTCTTACTTGGCTGCCTCCCTCCTCATCTGTACAGGTGAAACTGCAACAGAAACGGGCTCCTGGTCCAACTCATTTGGGACTTGAAATGGGAGCTGTCGGCTTGTGAGAAAAGAGTAAGTTTGGACCTAAGGATGTGATGCTTGTTGCTGTTCATATTTGTATGTCTGTACCTACAACTGTGCACAAATTCACTTTTATGATGTGACAGCAGATGAGACAGCCTGTTTCATCCCATAATCTCAAAGCATTAAGAATCCTTCTGGCATATATGCTGTGCTCAGTCTGCTATGGGAAGGATTTTCCCTTTTTTCATTCTTTTTTAGAAGTAGGTAGAATTTAGGCAGACCTTCCCATTCTGTCCTCAGCCTTAGAGTCCTTTTTGCTGTTTTAAGCAAGCATGGGGAGGCAGTGGTTGTCTTGTACCATGGTATTTCTCAGATTTTAAAAGCAGACAGCTAAAATCATGCTAGGTTTTAAAAACAAACTTCAAATCATTCTCAGTTGAAGCATGAGGACTGACTAGTGAAACCACCCTGGGACAGATCATCACCTAGGTGTGTTTTCATGTCAGACCCAGTGGAGATGGAGCCTCTCTATCATGTGGATAGCGCTGGTGGAGCTGTGTGCTTTTCAAATTTAATGGGCCCTGTGTCCTAGGTTCACATTCCACCAAGTCTAATTTATAGGAAGAGGGGTAAGAGCAGACAGTTATGTGCTGGATCAGTTGGGTGAGGACTAATAGTCCTCTATGATAACAAGACCCTGGGTATGTTTGGTCACTACCCCTCCAACTTCTACCTGTCATGTTTTTACTTCCAAGCCATAGACCTATAGCTTGACAGAAGCAATGAACAGCCTTTGGGGACAAGAGGGTCCTTGTGGAACTAGCTGGAGGTGGGAGAGCTGCACTTTCCATCTCAGCAAAGATATTAATCCTGGCAGGAGTTTTACACTTAATCTGGAAATAAATTTAGTGCTTGCATTTCTGCCTACACTACCAGGTTGGGGAGAGAAAGAAAAGTAAGAGTTGTTGCCAAGTAAGTCTTGTAACTGGGCACATGAAAAGTAAGTTTAATCCATGCTTAGTTTAGCTGGCAACTGTCCTTGTCATCTGCTGGAAGGTGCTTAATGAATACAAGGAAAAGAGCAGTCTCTTGTACCTGCTTCATGCAAAGAGACAGAGAACCAAAGGGTACATTACTGGTCCCATCTGAAATGTGTGGGTTGAAACTGCATAAAATTTAAACCATTCAGTGTGTATGATGTTCCTTGCACTTGAGGAGACACTGTTCTACATTGCTATATTATGCCTATTTTTTCAGATCCATTAGCACTGCACTTTCTTGGAATGTTTTATTCAAGAATTGAGGGAATACTTTGCTTTGTATTTATTACTTAACCTTGATATTCAGAATCTTTATTGCTTAGCCTTAGGAAACCAGATTGGTTATACCTTCTACAAGTAGGTAGCCGCAATGTGGGAGGCACACAGCTGTCGTCAGTCTGTCTGCCTGCACAGGGCTCTAGCACTATTAAGGCTCTCAGATCTTTCCCCTCATGCCAGCTCGGCGCAAGAGTAATGAGAACGTATGGTGATGCTACTCCTCCTTCTCCCTGCACCAGAAAAAGCAGAATGACTGAGTTTTCCTCAGGACAACTGAGCCAGTTGTTTGGCCATTGTTTTTTTTTTTTGTGCCCCAACTGGGTATGTATAAACAAGTCTTTACAGAGAAATTATTGATGCTGCTTGAGCCCAGACATTGCTTTACTATTATTTACAAGACTGCGGATGTCTTTTTGCACCTGACAGTAATCAGTGCTATAACAAAGAGAAGGGTCCACTCTTGCCAACATCTGTAGGAGATCTACTACAATGTCAGAAGCTGGTTTAGACTGACAGGAGCAGATTTTCTGCCTGACTTTGCTTATTTTGTGCCCAATGGATCTGTTCCCTTTCCCTCTTCATGCTCAATTTTGTACTGCATAAATTATAACAGGCAGAGACTGGAAGAACTAATGTGAAGTACAATGAACCCGAACACTGTCAGCTGATGCTGGCTCTGGGAACCACTGGCAGCCAGTATGTGGTGGAGAAGCAGAGAGCCTGTTCCCAGCTGTGCCTACAGGACATCCCACAGATGAGAACCTATCTGAGTGGGATGGAAAAGGCAGTATGGCCTATGGTCCTTAAACTTCAGATCAAAGTACTTATGTAAAGCTTTACTGCAAATAAGAGGCTTTGTTACCTTCTGCAGTACGTTTGCTATCTGGGGAGAACTTCAGCCTGAGAGTGCAGTTCCTTTTGCCCAATATCAACCAAGTAAAATGAGAGTATTAGTAATGTAGGTACCTAATCTGGCTCCTGTTTATATTGTTTCCTGGATTGAGAGACACAGACACCTGCAGCAGTAATTAATTCCTTAAAATGCATAAGACCTCTGAAGCTGTCTGAAAGAGAGCCCACTCTGTAGACTGGAGTGAATGGACTATACCTATAGACAGTTGAGCTGAATGCTGTTTTTAGAGCATATCTCGATACAGAATGTGTCCAGTGCGGTTAATAATCCCTTCTCCTGGCTTGCTTCTTTATCACTAGCTTTCTCTCAGAATATTTTGAGAACAGAATTGCTTGTAAAAAAAGCATGGCAAATGTTGGTAATGAGACTATAAAGGTTGGGCAGGAAGTACCCTAGCCGCACTGCTTATGTGGAGGTACATCCAGTAGCTACCAGACTGATCCAAATATCACTTCTGAGCTTGGCCCATCGTCCTGGTTTTGGCTCGTAAACCATAACACCCATCAGCATCTATTAGTGATGTGCCAAACAGTGCTGGCTGCTTTGAGCTGGCTGGGAAGGAACAGTTCAGTCATTCTCCATGAGATTTATTTTTTTTTTATTTGAATGCCTGAAAGTGAGCATCTTCATATATCCCATTTTTAAATATACCTTGTTTACATGAAATGCCTCTCGTTTGTGTTGAAAAGTCTGACTATTTCAAACCAAGCTGGTTTTTTAATTGATACAATTTTTCAACAGATTTTTATGACACCACTTTCTAGAATTCAAAATAAAACATAAATCCTTCTTGTGGGTTGTTTTTTTCCATTGTCTTTGGCAATCCTTTGGCCCTATATCCTTTCATTAGATAGAGAACTAATGGCAAATAACATTCAATGCATATCTAAAAATAAAACATTTTATTGTTCTCTTCTGCAAATATAACCAACATTTCTTCGTAATCAACTAAATAAATGACATTTGTTTCAGGAATTATTACTAGGGCAATTTCCACACACTGCTTGTTACAAATAGTCTAACCCGATGCCTACAATTAAAATAAATCAAGCCAGCTGAGGAGGTTCAAATACATGACACAAACTTGACTAAATAGCAACATGACATAAAGGGATGCTGTATTGCCTCCATGATAATAGTTGCAAAGACTTCTGTATGCAAAATGCAAAAGACCGCTTTTCTGTATGCTGCCATATGTCCACTGCAATTTGTGGACATATGGACGTAGGACTCTCTCATGTGTAATGTATATCACACAGACAAAAATAAAATAGGAGCAAAGGGCTAATATCATGAACACTGTTTAAAGGACAAATTAAAATGTTTGTTGTGGCAAAAACATGGATGTACTAATTAATAGCTCTAGATTGCTTACTGGCACTGGCTGCCACAGCCTCAGATATTTGATAGGTTTCAATAAAAGACAAAGCTGCATGAAACTAAATATGTGACTTTAAATGCAGTTGCTTAGATAAGGTCTCCTTTTGGGGGCAATGCTTTGCCTGATCTTTAAATTGCAGTTTACAGTGAGAATTAATGTATCTGCAAATTTACTTATAATGCTACTGACCTTATTGCCTTCTACCATTGCTCACTGAATGTGAAAGTGGGGTTTGAAATAAATAGGAGGAAAATGAAAGCTCACAAGAAGTATTCATATTGATGAAAACATTTGGAACATAAGTTTTATTTCATAGCCAACAAGAAAGTGATAATGTACATTGAGTGATACGTGCATGTTGTGCTTTCCTTTCTCTCAAAGACAGAAGCTGCCTGTAAGATATTGCCTTGCCAGCAATCAAAATGGTATAGGCTTAATCCTCATCTCCTTGAGAATCCAGGGAGGTGATATAGATCAGAACTGATGCTCTCTTTACTTAGCAAAGCCAGCTGTTTTTATCTTCTTGCTAACAGCTG